CTTGCTGGGTCTTCTTATGGTGGAGGTAATAAAAACAGACCTGACAATTTATTTGTAGGTATGCACTTTTCAGTCTTATACTTCCTTCACCCAAAATATTTATATACTCTCATACATATATTCTTTGTAGCTTACTCAGAGGCTGATTATGTCTCTCAGGTTAGAGAGATCGAGGAAGGAATTGCCAACAAGGAGTGGAAAATTCCACAAAGTTCTGGCTGGTCCTGGCCTTTCTTATTGAATCCCCTTCTTGCAAAATCTCCAAGCTTGAAATTTTCTGCACTAAATTTCTTTCTATAACCTACAAAATCACCTTCTTTTTTTCTATAGTCTCACTATAGAGATATAATAAACTTTATTTGCGGTCTCCTTGATTTCTTCCTCCCTCCCTCCCCTTCTCTTTCTTTCTTCTTTCCCTCCTTTTAGCTTTCCTTTTAGCTTTCTTCCTCCTCCTCTTTCTCTTTTGTTCCTACTTCCTCCTCCCTCTCTCCTTTTGTAGTCTCTTCGTGATGAGCTAGAGTTTTTTTTTTTGTAGAATATTCTGTGACTTTGTCCTAGCTCAAGGAGGCCTCACATATTGCATGGCTTTAGTAAAGCTGTGCATGGAGAGATCATCACCCCATTCCACAGTTCTCAGTTCCATATGTTTGTCCAGGTAGCATCTGGATGATTCCAAATAAGTACCTGCATCTCAATGAGCCTTAGCAACTCCAGAAAGCTGGTAATTCTAAGATCAGATTCCCTTTGCAACTACAGAGAACAGTGCCAAGCCTAAGTAGACACTCAGAGTTCTGTGCTCTTGCAGTATGAAAAAATACAATGTAGTGTAACCAACACCCAGTCTGCAATGCTGAGTTCCCTCTGAATTTGTAGCAACATTTTCTTGCATCTCAAGCTTTCTTATTGGCTGAATCTTAAGAGGTGGATAAATTGGAAACATCTTCCTCGATGTTTAACTGGTGGGAAACTCACAGGACAGAACAAGAAGTTAAGTTTTCTCTATCGCCAAGGGCTCTCCTCTCTATGCTCCAGGGGTTGAAACTTCCTGTAAGGACTCCATCTTAGTGTGGTTCTGGCAGAGCAGTGGCGGGGAACCTGCTGGTATCTTCCTGAGCAGCCTTTCTCAATCTTTTCCAAACTCAACTCTAGACCACACAGATTCCTCCGAGAAACCTGTGAGGACACTGGTGACAAGATACTGCTTTTGGGACATACAATGGGTGAGTTGGTCAACATGAGGCAGGCGGGATTTTGGTGCCCCCTCTTCCTGCAGGATGCAGCCTAATCTCCCACTAGATGGAGATAGGGGTGGGGTGGCAAGGGCGTAGGCTGTTTGTTTTGCATTTTCCAGAAGATAAGGGCCAAGCACGTCGTAAGATACTTGCATGTCCACTTGGAAAAACGTCTCTTCTTGTGGCTTAGCTACAGTGACTTTTTTTTCCTGTTGGAGGGAAAAAGCTCAGTGTGTGGTCTTCTCCAATTCAGGATTTTCAGAAATGATTAATTTCCACTACCTACAGCAGGGGCGGTGGAAATTAATAGTCTTTGCCTGTTACTAGTTGTAAAAGAGGGCAGGGAATCTACCAGTAACCCTGCGATCACGGCAACAACCATTTAGGGTAGACTGAATTATCGCTTAGAAGGTTCTAGAAACTTACTTATCTGTCGTAAAACCTCTTCTGAAATGTTCTATGTAGTTTTATGTGGAGTTTTCCATATTAATTAAATACATTTTGAGAGGCGGAATCTTATTCATGAATTCTGGAGCTAAAGTGACTCTCCTATTTCAAGTGTCACAAGTGTCTAAATCTATATCTGAGACTATAGACATGCAGCACCATACTAAGCTTGTTACTCATGTTTAAGTCTTCCCCATATAGCTGCATTTTCTTCTAGATTCATCTGTTATATAGAAAGGTTTATTGAAATTTCTCTCCCTCTTTTTTTGTAGGTCATGGGGCTTGAACTCTGAGCATGGGCACTGTCCCTGAGCTCTTTAACTCAAGGAAAACTCTCTACCACTTGAGCCACAGCGCCACTTCCGGTTTTCTGGTGGTTTTCATATGAGTCACACAGACTTTCCTGCCTGGGCTGGCTTTGAACCGCAATCCTCAGATCTCAGCCTCCTGACTAGCTAGGATTACGGGTGTGAGCCACCAGTGCTCAGCTTATATTTCTCTATTTTTCTTTAGTTAGCTTTTGCTTTTTATATGTTTTGTTCTATATTAAAACAAGCATAAACATTTAGAATTTTATCCGGACGCTGGTGGCTCATGTCTGTAATCCTAGCTACTCAGAATGCTGAGGTCTAAGGATCAAGGTTCAAAGCCAGCCTAGGCAGGAAAGTCTGGGAGACTTGTGAGACTCTTATCTCCAATTAACCACTCAAAAACTGGAAGTGGAGCTGTGGCTCAAAGTGGTAGAGTGGTAGCCTTATGAAAAAGAGCTCAGGGACAGTGCCAGGGCCCTGAGTTCAAGGCCTATGACTGACAAAAAAAATATTAGAATTTTAAAAATATGTTCTTTTGAATTATTACTATGAAATGTCTCTTTTGCCATAGTATTTCTTTCTTTAATGTATACTTCTCTCTTACTAATAAGATTCTAAAAATTTAGTGCACAAATTTTGTATGGTTTGCTATTTTTGAGGTAAGTTTTAATTGTCATGTATTATTTTCATGGAGTACAGTGTGATATTTCAATGCATGTATACAATGTATGATGTTCAGATCAGACTTTGAGGCAATATCCATTGTCTTAAATATTTTTTCATTTCTTCATGTTATGAGCATACATAATTCTATCTAGTAGCTATTTTGAAATACACAACAATTACTTGTCAGCCATTATTATTCCATGCTATAGAACATTAGAAGTTACTCCTTCTATCCAGCTGTATGCCTATACTGATTAACTCTTCTTTATCCATTCCCCTTGCCAATACCTCCTTATGTTTCCTAGTCTCTGCTAATTATTATTCTCTCTGCTTCTGAGATCAGATATTTTGCTATATTGTTTATTTATATTTTTCTATATTATTATATTTTAATTTTTTTATTTCCTTTTTTGTGTGCTAGTCTTGGAGCTTGAACTCAGGGCCTGGGCACTCTCCCCGAGCTTTTATGATCAAGGCTAGTGCACTATTGCTTGAGTCACAGCTCCACTTCAAGCTTCTTGGTGTTTAAGAGTCTAATGGACTTTCTTGCCCAGACTGTCTTTGAACCCCAGTCCCTAGATCTCAGCCTCCTGATTAGCTAGGATTACAAGTTTGAACTACTAGATCCAGACTTTACATGTATTTTTTAAAGGAAAATTTAATGGAGACATTTTTATGCAATCTGATTCTATCTGCCCTTCAATTAGGAATATTTAATTGAGCCTATTCTTAATTGTAGATAACAAGTGATTCAAATAGAACATATTATTATTGTTTAATTATTTATTTTAGTTATTTTATTTTTGTATCGGTTCTCGGGCTTGAACTCAGGGCTTGGGTACTATCCTTGAGCTTCTTTTGCTCAAGGCTGAAGCTCTACCACTTGAGCCACAACTCCACTTCTAGTTTTTTTTTTTTAGTAGTTTACTGGAGACAAGAGTCTCATGGACTTTTCTTCTCAGGCTGGCGTCAAACCATGATCCTCAGATCTCAGCTTCCTGAGTAGCTAAGATTACAGGTGTGAGCTATCTGTGCTCGGCTTTGTATATTTATTTTTCCTGTTCCAAATTTCTTGTATTTTCCTTTCCTTTGAAATGAATAAAAATGATTAATATTACTATTAATGATTTGACTAATTACAGTAAACTTTCACAATTCTTGTAGTGTTTACTCTTAAGATTACTATGTATGCATATATGTGTGTGTGTGTGTATATATATATCTTTGCCCTATCACAATTTCATTTGCTCATTTGAGTCTCATAACATTTTTCAGGAATGTTGGAAAACTGTGAAACTGGTTATCCTCTCTCAATTGACTGTCATGTATTTTAATTGTATAGTAACACCCTAAAAGAAATTATAATAGTGTTATAATAGTTCATATTCACTTAGATTTATCTATATATTTGTAAATATCATTAATCTTTTTTGCACATATGGTGATATTTTTCTATTCGAGGAAGGACCTTTAATATTATTTTGGTTTAAGTCTTCTGGCCAGATTTCCTCCCAGGTTTTGTAGCATGAATATTATTATGAAACGTCTGTTTTTTTTGTGGGGGATTTTTTCCCCTTAAAGTACACTTTTTCTCCCATTGGAATTTTTATACTGACTAGGTGTCTTGATAATTTTGGAAACTTCTCAACTAAGGGGAAGTAATATTTCCTTACTATTTTCTTTCTTTATTTCTGAGACTCAAATTGAGTGTGTGTTAGATGTGTTCACTATATTTCCTTTCATTCTTTCCATTTCCTTTTGCTACTCCCCATAATTTTATGCATTTAAGTTATATACTGTATATTTTTCAGCTTTACTTTTCATTTGTCTAGTTCTTCGTTCAGGAAGGGAAAGAAGGCATTGTCTTTAATCATTGAACCATAACAGCAAAATTTCAAGGTGAATTTTTATTACCCCTCAGGGGAGGGAGGTGAGGTTTAGAAATGGTAAATCACATGTCTCAGGTCATCTAGCATGAAAATGGCAAAGCAGGTGCTAACATCTGATCAGATCCTTAATCGCACTGTGCTTATTTTTTTTCTTGGGTATGAATGCTTCCTATCTCCCGTCTTCCCATCTCCCAGGAAGTGGAACTGCAGAGAAGTCTTTCAACCTTTTTGGCACTATGATAGATTTCTTTCTCAGTTACCAAGCACTATGATACATTTCTTTCTCTTCATTAGTGGTTATATTTGCCCAGGACTTTTTCTGTTATTCCACATTAATGTTGTTTCTCAATTTAAGGGCACAATTCCAAAACTAAATACATTCAAAAAAGAGAAAAATGCTCGCATTTTCAAAGGAGACTTCCCAGTTGCTCTGAAAAAGTCACTACTGGCCTGCATACTCTATTCCTGCAACAGCAAGACAGAGATCCAACAAGTATTGCCCACATGGAAGCCCGTGGAAGAAGATAGTAAGTGATCAGTCAGCATGGCTGGAATGTACTAGTCAGTGAAATACTTAGGAATTTAACCTGCTAGTTAAATGTGTTACTCTTTTTCCTAACCTGAGAGTGAAAATAATAGGATGGGATTAATGACTGAACAAACATTTTGTAGCCCTGGTTCCAGTGGGACAAAAAACTCAAATAGGAGAATTTCTGAGTATATAGAGATGACTTCAGTTTCTCTATTTTTCTCACAGCATTCCTTATGCCATCCCATCCTATCGTCAGAGAATCTATTCAAACAAACAAAACAAAACCCAAATTAACATGGTGGAAGGCCAAAACCCTCCAGAGAGAAGAATTCAGAAGACAGAACAGGATGTGAACTTTGAGAGCTGGTTTAAGGTCACAGTGAGTGTCCTAACAAAATAGATCTAATATCCAGTTGTAGGAAAACCGAATTGTACTGGGCTGATGTAGAAATGCCAGAGCTTTTCTGGGTATGGAAAACTGATAATGTGTTCTTTTTCCAGTAGTTAATATCTTAGATTGTGTAAGGGCAAATTCAGAGGGGCAATATAGAGGGAGCAAGCCAACTGCATGAAGAATAGAAGAGATTGTGTATTTAAAGAAATTAATTATAAGAAAATGGAGTAACTCCATACTGGATACTTCAGTTTTTCTTAAGTCTGACTTGTTAGATTTGAGTCTCTGGAGTCCCTGTCAAAGGGGCAAGTCAGCTGGTTATAGTGATTGCCTATCTATAATCCCAGAACTTTGGAGGCAGAGGCAGGAGGATCATAAATTCAAGGCCAACCTGGGAAATACAAAAGTTCCAGGAAAGGGGGCAGTGTGGGTCTTTTATAACAGAAGTTTAAGATCTTTGAAAACTAATAAATGGAAGTTTATAGCTCATGTCAAATATTTGAAATTGATTATTTGAAGAAAATAATTTCAGTCAAGAGAAAAGGTAACTAGAAAATCTATGTCTAGTGTAAAAGCTAGAAATACTGCATCGGAATGTGTCCTAGTTTTAGAAATTTAAATTGTAATGCTTGACCAAAAAAAAAAGGCCGAATAAAAGATGCTTGAGCTTACCTTTAAATTCCATTATGTCAGTCTCTTCTCTCAACATTTTATTTGCTCCTAGATTCCATTTGGCATAAAATATGATGAGGAGTGGCTGCTAAATTTGATTCAGAGCCAATGCAGTGTCCCTTTCACTCCAGTCGAGGTAAGAGGGGATAGTAAGGAGGATGAGAAGAATCAAGACCGTAGAAGGGATAGATGAGAAATGGTTCTGGCTTCACATTCTATTTCTTTCACCCTTATATCTAGTTTCGCTATGAGAAAATGCAAGCCCAGTTCTTTGTCAATAATGCCAGCACTGCCTTTGAACTGAAGAAGATCAGTGACAAGCTTTTGGACAACAATAATGAAAGGGTGTGTGTCAATGTCATAACCTGGTCTAGTTAAGAGAAAGTGGGCAAACCAGGAGCAGGATCTTATATAATCTTGGGGGTCAGAGATGTTGATGCTGACTCAGCCCCTTGTGCTGTCTGCAGATCTCAATCTTTATCAGCGCCTCTGATGTACCTCACTCTCTGCAGAAGGAGGTAAAGTCAGAAAAGATGGAACAGGTAAATGTAATTTAGACTCCAGATAAGCTAGCACCTACCATCAGACCCATCTATACCCCCTTCTATTGCCACCTTTACCACTTCAGCCTCAAATAATCAGAGAACTAATCCTGCAGCCAAGAATGAACAAAGGATATGATGTATCCCAGCAAGATCTTAACATCTACAGTAACTCATTTGACCGAGGTATGATTGACAGTAGTAATTCTAAGGAAAATGAAGGCAGAAAGATCTGTCTGGGATGGAGATTTAATGACTGTAATTTGGGGAGGGGTTGATGCTAGCACTATATTAGCCTTCTGATTCTCTCTTGCTTCCTGAAGACATGGCAACTTATAATACAAAAATGATATCACTGAATCCTGGAAAGTATGTGACTACTACCTTAACTACTCATGAAGAGAACATATCCAAGGTGAGACTTTCATCCAGATTCTGGTATGACTGATGAAGGTTGCAAAAGTTCAACTTGGTCTCATTAATCTCATTTTGGAGTCCTCACTCTAATTCTTCCTTCATTATAGATTTTGTCCTTGAACTTGTGCCACAAAAGCCAGCTGGTTGGACTGCTTGTTGCTATGCCAATGTCCTCCAGTATCAAAATCAATTTTCAGATTGTTGTTTGAAGGGAAAGTGGAAGGGCTTATTAGATGATGACAAGAGGTAGAGACCTGGACTTTGGGGCAAGGAGGAGGGTTAGAAGTTCAGGGTCATCCTGCCTTGATTTTTTCAGTTCATGTGTTTCCCCCTCATAATTTCAGATGGAGACTTCAGTAGAGATTGAGAAAGGGAAAGGCCAAACACCAGAAGAGATGCATGCAGAATCAGACTCTTTCTGCACCACCTTCCCGGATAATTCCACCAGCATGAAGTCAGTTGCACTCGCTATTATTCTTTTGGAGCCTAGTCTGCCCCTGGCATGCCTATCTGCAGGAGATTGCCATGGTCATTTGTGACCACAAGCCCAGTCCCCTTTCCTGTCTGGGTCCTCAACTCTGGTCTCCCCACCCTCGCATGCTTCACCCACATGTAGCTAACCTTCCATCCCTATCCTGACAGGTCCCTTGCCTGTCCCAGGCCAGCATGGAGGCTTGTCTTGCACCATGGTGAGGACGGAGGTCCTCAGCCACAAAAGTGGCTGCCATGGTGAAATCTGTTCCTCTGGGCCATCGTTGGGAGCTATGTCTTCCTTGGGGAGCACCCTGCTTCCTTGATCAAGGATCCAGAAGTGGGCAAGCAGGCAGCTTCCTGAAGCAGGAGTGGAAGGCAGAGGATCTTGAGAACAGAAGGGCAGGTCTTTCAGGAGTGTTGTCCACCCAACCCCCCCACTCCATGTCACATCATCCTACCTGCTCCTGCAAAACAAACAAGTATGGTTCATGGGCGAGGCATAGACTCACAGGCATGGGTGTGTGAGAGAGAATTCAGGATTATAAGATGGTCCAAATATTGTCCATCTCATGATGAGCTGGCTCTAGGGAATTACTGCTGCCCTGAGGGAGGTTCATTTCCCATGCCATATTCAGCCTGCATTCAGCAGGTTCATATTGTAAGATCTGCCTAGGGCAACAGGGTCTACCAGAGGCAAGTAAAAGAGAGGGCTGTAGCAGGGAAATCATTCTCTTTTTCTTCTCCCTTCACACCAAGAACCAGGGCCGAATGAGTGTCTTCTCTATCTTTTTGATTTTCTTTTTCCTTTGTAGTCAGCTTGTTGTACTCTGTCCCATTGCTCCTTCTATGTTTCTTCTCTTTCTGTTCCATGCCCTGTATCCCCTTCCCCTACCTCCTGATCCCTCACTCACCTGGTCTGGGCAGGCCATGTTGTGCATGATGTTGAGTGTCCAACGAGGGGTCAGACCTCTGGGCTCCCACACCATATACTGTTCCCTTCTGAGACTTGTATGAGAACTCAGAAGAGGAAAAGGGAAGAAAATGGAGAAGAAAGCCCTGAAGCTTGGGTTGCCACTGTATTTCTTGTGGTCCTGTTGGACAGTGAACATAAGGGATACCCAGGGAGAAGATGAGAGAAGAGAGAAAGAGGGAGACAATTTTCCCTCAAGGTCAGTTCCACAGTTTCAACTTTTTTCCTCTTAAGTTTCTGTATTTTCAACTGAGGCATAAAAATATTAAGAATTTTCCAGGTCCCAGTGGCTAGCGCCTGTAATGCTACCTACTCAGGAAGCTGAAACCTGAGGATCGTGGTTCAAAGCCAGCCCAGGCAGGAAAGGCTGTGAGACTCTTATCTCCAGTAAACCACTAGAAACCCGGAAGTGGTGTTGTGGCTCAAGTGGTAGAGTGCTAGCCTTGGGATGAAGAGCTGAAGGACCATGCTCAGACCCAGAGTTCAAGGAAAAATGTTAAGAATTTACATATTAGCTAGATATGATAATATACCTACATATGAATGGGGTACCGGGTAATGTTTGTGCATATGTATACATTGCATGATTTTTATAGGTGGTCTTGAATTTTTGGCAGCTCCATCCTGGAATTGTTTCCCAAGTTATTACGCCTGGTAGGTACAGTCTTTCACCATTGGCATCTCTAACTGAAAATAAAGCTGCCCACAACCTATTCTCAACCCCCTTAGTTATTGCTCAAGTTAAACTTTTGGATCTAGCTCTTCAACTTCAAAGGGATGGGAGACGATACAGGGTCATGTGGGAACTTGACAGAGAGTATATGGCCTTTCTACACACCAGGATATCTGGCTATGATCCCAACTGTTGTTCTGTTAGACCTAATTTCTGAACTTTCCCATTCCTGAGTCCATCCCTTTCCCTGATCTTCCAATATTACCTACCTGGTTTGCACTGGTGACTTCCTCTTGTGTTCTCCAGGATGGCCAGGCATCATCTAGACCACCTGTCTTTAACACTGAAACTCACAAGAAGTTACCAACTTGCAAGGTGAAGAGAGGATTGCCTAAGATTTTTAGTTATGCATAAAGAAAGGATAACAATATCCTGAACACTTCTTTTATTTTAGGGAAGTTACTTTGGATCTGAAATGCTAAAGGATCTGATCCTACAATTTCTGCAACAGTATGTATCCCCGGAACTCTGAGTAATGGGAGGGATGGGACAAGACAGGTAAGACCTCACAGTCACAGGTCTGCTTGGTAAAACTGTCTCATTTGAGGCTCAGATCATAGATATAGCCTATTACATTCCCACAGATACTACACGATCTATGACTATGGAGATCGACAGGATCTTCTTGATGTTTACCATGAAGAGGCCTGTTTCTCCCTAACCATTACCCACAACTTCAAGGAACAAGCTCCGTGAGTATCACTGCTCAGACTGGAGGCAGTGTGAGACTCCCTTGCCTCCCAGCAGACTCATACTGCATGCAGTCCAGACACTGGTGGGACTATTACCACATGCTGCTTTCTCTCCTAGAAGCAATCTGTGTGACTATTTGAAGTACAGCAGGAATATGAAGAATCTCAAGGATCCATGTAAGTATGTGATAGAGAATACAGGGCAGAGAGAAAGTATGAATTAGGCAATCAGAGAAGACAAGGGCCAGGTGTGGTAGCCTCCTCCATTTTGGTTTCTCTGCTTTCCAACAGATGTACAGAGGCAGCTGCTAAAGCACAGAAAATGTGACATTGTAAACTCCCTCAAAGTGTTGCCCAAAACCCAACATGATCTCAATTCATTTGTGGTGGACACTTGGTTCCAGACGGTGAGCACATGTTTCCTTTCTGACAGTCCCAGAGAGCTGGAGTTGAGTAGGAAGTTAAGCAGAATCCTGAGCTCCTGTGTTCTACCCTTTTAGGAAAAGATGCTCTGCTTCTCTGTCAGTGGGCAGTTCAAGGAAGGTGAGTGTATATAGAATCCCCTTTCCAGATTCCCTCCTGCCCACCTTCCTGGGAAACCAGCTGTAGAACCCTTCGCATTCTTTCCTTGCTTTTCTCTTCTTATATCCTGCTTACAAGCATCTTGATCTTGTCTACTCCAGAGCTCAAGTACTGGGGATACAGATTGTAAGATTTTGATGGTTCTCATGTTAGTTAGGTGATTTGGGACCACTTAATCTGTTCCCTCATTTGAAAAAACCTGGGAATGAAAAAAACAGGGATGAAATACATTTGAAGTGATTTTCACAAGTCTCAATTTTTGATAGGGGACCCATCAGTGTGAGTGAGTTATTCTTAGTGTTTTCCCCCGATTTCCCCTGCCATCCTGAATCCAAGTTAACAGTGGTAACTGTTAGGTGTTGCTCCCTTTAGTGTAAGACTTTTTACTGGGAAACACTGTATGAACATGTGAAGCATATGAAACTCTAAAGGGGTATTGTTGTTTGTTGTCATTGAAGTGGAAGGAAATTCTCAGGGATGTGTTCATGTCTTCACTCGGACCTTCATCACTACCCACAGCAGCAGTTCAAGGTAAGTACTGTGTTGTGGGTAGGAGTATCCATCCAAGCTTGGCGACAGTGTTGATATGCAATAGTGAGTCCCTGAGGTATTTTTTAAACCCACAGTCTACCCAAGTGGTTGAGAGCATGGACTCTGACTAGATGCTGATTGTTCACATCTATAATCGCAGCTTATTCAGGAGACAAGATCTGAGAAGCCCCTGGGTAGACAAATCCACCTTATCTTCAATTCACCAGCAAAACCCCAAAGTAGAGGGGGTGGTTCAAGTGGTAGAATGTCAGCAGTGAGTGAAAACTCTGAGTGAGAACACAAGGCCCAGAATCAAGCCCCAGTATAGGTGTGTACATGTGCTTGTGCGCGCGCACGCGCACACACACACACACACACACACACACACACAGTGTGGGCTCTAAAGTCCTGATGTAACACTTTCGCTGTGATTTACTTATTTGCTGTATGCCAAGTAATATGACCTATCACTTTCTTCCTCTGAAATAGTGATTATACTGCCTACTCCCTTGAGCTGTTGTAAAGGGAAAATGGGAATGTAAACCCATTCCTGGGTTATAGTTAACCTTATAAATTTAGTGAGTTATGTACACAGACTCCAAAGATGGGCTCTGTGGGAAGTATCAAAGGATACCAACCAGGAAAGTTGAACAAAGTAGGGGATAGAAGGAATTTAGCTGCTGAGCAATGATAGCTTTGGGGTAGCAGGTTGTCTTTTTGTCTAGCTATTCTAGATCTCATTTTTCCCTTCAGCTTATGCATCGTCAATGACAAGCTATTTTTGAGTGCCAGGCCCCAAGAGATGGAAAATGCTTGCTCCATTCCCATGCTATTGCCCTCAGGCTCTGAGATGGCGATTTCCCAGGAGCAGCAAATGATGCAGGCATTCTCCACCAAGTCTGGGATGAAGTGGTCTGAGAAGTAAGTGTTGGTGTACAAGTTGGTTAGGTATGAGCTAGAACAATCAGGGGAGTGAATTAAGGTAGCTACTAGGTAATTGAAACATTTTCTTCTTTGTGTATAGATATCTACTTATTTTAAACAGTATATGTCTTTTCTCCAAATTCCATGGGCCCTGTTTCTTTATTGGAAGGCTTTTGGATTTTCAGGACATTTTTCTCATGACATACTGTGATGCTGGAGTCATTCTGATATATATCTTGGAGCATACATAGAGGCATGTTTCTGTCACAAAGAATAAGAAATGTCATTGTGCTATCAGCATATCTCCTCTTGGATACTAATGAATGTCTCCTTTCCTTTCTCTACCCTAGGGACTGTCAGACCAACTACTTAGACTACAGTAGAGTTGTACAAGCTCTGCCGCATCCTAAGGTAAGGTTTTAGAATCCAGATAAAGTGAGATAAGGCCAGATGGTCTGGGCATGAGGCCAGGGTTCTTTGCTCTGCTGATCTCCCAATTACCTCCTTTACTTCTCCAGAAAAATGGAAAGATCTGAGAGACCTTCACATAGAATGGTACACAATCCTGAGTGTGACACTCTGAGAGGAAACCCTTGGGTGTTACCATCTTCACCCTCATTACCTTTGTTGTATTTTTGTTCTAGTGTTTTGCTGTTATTGAATTTGGAAGTCTGGGTGCAACTATGTAGTGTTGACTCTCATCCATCCAAAAGGCTAGTTGTTCTGTGGATTTGTTCCCAGGATACCCCCCTCTGCCTTGTTTGACAGAGAGTGATGGTGCTTACTACAGTAGATCTTTGAAAAGTCTGTTTGAGGCAGGTATTATGATCCCTGTCCTTGAGAAGAGGAAAAGGATACTCAGTGAGTAACCTTTGGGAAGGAGTGGAGCATAGACTCATGTCTTGGACCCATATTTAAGCCAGAGCTGTGCCAAAGGGCCTTATCACTTCCTAGGTTGAGGTTGTTCTCTACCCTCGTTAAACATGTCCTCAGTGCATTAGCCAAATATTTTTTTTCAAATATTTTTATGCAGAGAATAATGTTAGATTCTGAGCCACCCAAATTATTCCAAGTTAAAAAGTTCTCTTTTGTGAGAAAATGTACTAAAGAACATATGAAGACCTGGGGAGAAAAAATGCTCCTATATATGATTGACATACTGTTAATATCCTTGAAATATAAAGAAATCTGTAGAGAAGGGGAAAACATACAACCTTTGGAACAATATTAATTGGAACAATAGTATTATTTGGAACAATATTAATGTCAAAGAAATCTATAAAGATCTGTTAAACTCTTAAATACTCCAAATCATAACTGCAAATGTTGAGTTACTAATTTAGAATAGGAAGCTAATGATAGTTATTTTTAGAAATATGCACTGAATTCTGTATATGTACAAGCATGCATCTCTATATTGATATTTTGGCTTCCTAAAGTTGCCATAATAAAGTACCATAACCTAGATGGCTTAAGGCTGTGAGAATTTGTTTTCTCATGATTCTGGAAATTAGAAATCCAAACTCAAAGTGCTATCAGGGCCACATTTCTTTTAAAGACTCTAGAGGAAAATCCTTGCATCTTCCAGTTCCTGGTTGTTCCTAATAATTATTTTATAGCTTTTGGCAGCATAACTTGTATTTCTGCCTGCATTTTCACATGACCTGTGTCTTCTTTTTTCCTCTCCCTTTCAAATACCCATTACTAATAGAATCCACATTGGTTTCATAAGATTCTGTGCTCATGTAGGTGGCCTTCTCCAGCTTTGCCTCTGTATCTGTGGCTCTGAAGTAGGAGTCGTTCTTCTTTGTATTTGTATGGGGTTTTGAACCCAGAGGTCATATACTTGCAAGACAGACATTCTATTGCTTGAGCCATACCTCCATCCCTTGTTGCTCTGATTATTTTTGAGATAAGGTCTCACTCTTTGTCCAGACTGGCCTACCCTATGATCATTCTATCATAAACAGGATGACAAGCATATGCCACCATACTTGTCAAGCATGTGTCACCATATCTTATGAACTTTTTGCCCATGCTTGTCTCAAACCACAATTTTCCAAGTCTCTCTTTTTTTTCAGTAGGAAGGTTGAAGGGTATGAGTCACTGCTGGCAGCCTATTCTTCATATTTCTCAAATATGGCATATGTTAGCAGCCAAGTAGCTCCATTATCCTATTTGATGCTTGTACAGTCAAGGAAGTCTGATAACTCATTTTGTCCCTCTTTTGTCTTCTACAGGCCAGACTGGCAGTGCTTTTGATAGTATAAAATTATTTTCAAAATTCTTCTGCTATTCTAATGCCTGTCAAGGAGCTTCATGACATTACAAAAGAGGTTATTCCTTAAGTCCTTCCTGGATAATCTCATGTCTATTTCTGGATTCTTATGAGAGAGTGCAGTCTTGAATTTACACTACATCCTTCCAGCATTCAGTGCTATCAGTGTTCTAGATTTTGGCCTTTCTAATAGATGTGCAGTGGTATCTCAGTTTTAATTTGTATTTTCCTGATCACATGTTGTGAGGAGCATCTTTCATGTTTATTTGCCCTCTGTACATCATCTTTGGTGAAATACTTCTTTAGATCTTTTACATTTTTAATGTGGTTGTTTTCTTTTTGTTAATTTAATGTGGCTTAAGAGTTCTTCAAATATTTTGAATAGTTGTCCTTTATTTTATATGCTTTTTTCTCAAATATTTTCCTATTCTGTGGCTTATGTTTTCATTCTCTTGACAGTGTCTTTCAAGAAGAGAAAATGTGAATTTTAATGAAGTCCTTTTCTCATGGATTAAGCCTTTGCTGTTCTATTTAAAACATCATCATGATCAAAAAACATCTAGACTTTTTCCCTGTTATGTCTTTCAGTATTTTATTTCAAATTCTATTTTTTCATTCACAGTTTATATGAAAAGTATTTGATGAAAATTACTGCATGAAAGCTAGTTTTAAGATGAAGAAACTTGTGAAATTGACTGTAGTGAAGATTGCACATATTTATGGACATTCCAAAAATCAATTATCCATTTTAGTAGATGGATTTTGGTACATCTGAATTATATCTTCAAAATTCTTAAGAAATAATTTGAAAAGAAATAATTTGAGGGGCTGGGAAGATGGCTCAGTGGTAGAGCACTTCCCTTGCATGCCTGAAGCCCTGGGTTCGATTCCTCAGCACCACATAAGGAAAAAGCCGGAAGTGGCGCTGTGGCTCAAGTGGTAGAGCGCTAGCCTTGAGCTGAAGAGCTGAGGGACAGTGCCCAGGCCCAGAGTTCAGGCCCCATGACTGGACGCAAAAAAAAAAAAAAGGAAGAATTTGAAACTTTCAGTCAGCTGTCTGCCCCTATAACAAATACATAAGATAACAAAGTTATGAAGATACACTTTATTTAGTCTCCCAATTTTGCAGATTCTAGTTAATGTTTGAGTGGACCTATGCTTTTTATAACTTTGTGAAGGGCACAACATATCATGTCAAGGGTGTGTGACAGGGCAATTGTGCTTACTTCATGTGCAAGAAGCAAAAGAGGTAAAGAGGAAGGACCAGAGTACTATATAATTCCTTTCAAGGGCATAACTCCTATACATGAAACTTTCCTATAAAGGCCCATCTTTTAGGATTTTACAACCTTCCAATATGGCCACACTGGTGACCAAGCCTTTAATATATAGACATTTGAGAGGCAATTCAAGTTCAAATTATAGAAGCAACTTAACTATAATTGTTTATGAAAGGAATATGAGAGGGAAAGCAGAGGATTTAAAGAAGAATGACTGTTTCTATGCTGACCATTGGGTAGTTTCTGAGGTTGAAATATGGAAAAGAAAGGAAAACAAGTACAGGTTGAAAAGTGGGGGGGGGTGAAATGGGGATAAGAACTTTAAATCTTTTTGAGGAGGCAAAAATCTCAGCATCTTTTGAAAAATCTGCTGAGATTATGGCCGCTCTCCCTACCAAAAATGTAAACACACCACCGCTGCCTTCAAACATATCTTTTTTGAATAACACTTAAGGATTTCTACAGATTTCTGAGTTGAGAACACCATGGTTCCCCAGATTGATCAGTGGGAAATATTCCTTGGTTGTGTGAATAAACAAAGGGGTATCAAGGCAGGTATGGACTTGTATACAATGACATCACAGTGAGATTAGTCTCTTCTTAGTAATCTGGAGGTAAAGAATATGGGGCCAAACAGAATATACCTCCAAAGCCACATAAAAAGTAGGAGCAAGATCCCAAATATGATTCCACTTGGGCTGTGAAAAACAGAAGAAATTGAGCAAGCATGGGAGTCCTTTCCCCTGGCTAAACGACACTTGTACATTCTTCTTGGATTCTTATCCAAGAAGTATAGATAGTCTGGTTTGCAACAGAGGAGCACACCTCTCATTAGATAGGAATTAAGGGGAATAAATAAAGGAAAGAATCCAAAAGTATTTATAAGATCATTTCTTCATTAATATTTTTAGAGTAAACAGCAGAGTCACGAGCCTGAACATAGAAAATGAGTAGCTCTGGAATATGGGAAAACCAGCACCAGAAACCTTGTCAGCACCAGGATCATCTGTATAGCTCCGCATCCTTATCCTGCCTAACCTCACAGCTTTTCTCCTTATGACTTTAAAAACATTAATAATAATACCAAGTAATTCTCGGAAAAAACTAATTATGTTAGTTGCCAGGAAATATTTTCCCTACATTTGAGAAATGTTTGTTCTAAGAGAATAAAAGACATTTATTATCATTTGCATTTTGTCTCATGGTGGGGGGACCAGTAATATTATTTGTATAAATGGACAAGATCTGACATTTCCAATTTTCCCTGAATATTTAACTTACATTTTAGAAAAAAATTATCCAAGAAGTTTCCTTGTGCTTTTTTATTTCAAAAAATATTTTAAACAATCTAGAATGTTCCAAAAATGATGGTGTGTGCCAGGTGCCTATGGCTCACTCCTGTAATCCTAGCTATGCAGAAGTTGAGATCTAAGGATCAAGGTTTGAAGCCACTCAGGCAGGAAAGTCCCTGAGACTCAAATTAACCACCCAAAAGGTGGAAATGACATTATGGCACAAGTGGTAGAGCAATGAGCAATGATCAAAAAAAGAACAACAACAAAAAAAGAGTAACTAGCAATGAGCAAAAAAGCTCAGGGACAGCTCCCAGGCCGAGTTCAATACACACACAAATGGTGTGTTGTACTCAAAATCAGTATTTTCTTTATGGTGCAATAAAATGCTTCTTGATTTATTTCTTCTGAAAATTTCTTTAAAATTTTAAGTCACGCTGATTTTCAAAATGGCATTAAAATTATTATGAAACTTATATACAGCCATGGAGAAGAAATAAAGCAGAAGACGCCATGGCCAAGGGTGGGAGATGTTGCGGGAGGGTGGAGGATGGAGCAGATCCTTCCTGGTAACAGAGAAAAGCCAGGTCCAACCGCAAGATGGTGATGCCACTTGTGTGCCCTCAGATTGGAGAGGCCCCAGATGAGTGACGGCTGGTGCGCGCACCCCGGGAGCACGCACGGCGAGGTGGAGGGGGGATGTGCAGTGCGTCAGCCAGGGGCGGCGAGGGTGGGAGGGGGCGGAGGGGGGGGGCTCTTGCCGCACTGGCCGCCCGAGGTGGGGGGCGAGCTCGGCGGTGACGCGCGGCCCTCACGTGACCCGGAGCTGCAGAGCGACGCAGCCTTGGGTGCAGTCGTCACTCGCGTCTGGCTAGCAGCTCCCCGCCGCCCAGCGCACGGCGGGCTGGCATCGGGCCCGGGGAAAGCGGAGCAGGTAAGGCCCCGGGGCCCGCGCGCCAAGGCCCGGCCCGCAGCCGCTTGCCGCCCGCAGCCGTTTGCCGATCGCAGCGAGGCAGGTGCAGAAAAGTGCGGCGGGCGCCCGTCTCCTCCACACCCTGGCTTTCTGGGAATACAAGTGCGGCCCCCTTGGAGTGGGGATGCGGGGCGGTTGGGGTTTCGGGGGAGGCGCAGCGGGGCACCTGAGAGCCAAGGGAAATCACCCTCTAGTCCCTGCAATGGGAGCACCTCTGGGAGGGGATAGGGTGGGGATGGAGAGGGTGTGGGGAGGAAGAGACTGAACGGCGCTGGGTTCTGGGAAGTAGCAGCTCAGGCTTCCTCACTTGGTCCAGCTGTCTGCAGGTCTGAGTGTCGCAGCAAAGAACCTTCCCAGAATCGGGAGGAGGAGCCAGCAAGGATAGGCCCAGGTTGGTGCAAGGGGCATTGCTGGGGGCAGCAGCGGGAGTGGGGGGGGTAGGAATGTATAAAAGCCCAATATGAGACCCCCTTAATTCCAGCTCTCCCATTCCATCCTTGTCCTCCATTTTGGTATCTGGGGAGGTCTGAAAATGGATCCTCAGGGAAAATGGTGGTTTGGGGGAGGGGCTAGGATCAGGGGCCCCCTAGAGGGCGCACAGGGGCTTTCAGGTGGGAAAATGAAATTTTGAAGGAAAAAAAAAAGGACTAGTGCATTCTGAATAGTGACTTGTATGAATACCTCTGTCCTTGGTGCTGAAACAACCACGAGGAATTTAGTCCCTTTTTTCTTTTCCTTTTTTTTTTTTTTTTTTTGTCTCCTAGGAATAATGGCGTCCAAAGAGGAACAAGCAACGAAAAACCTTGATGTGGAAAATACTCACCAGGAAAATGAAAACAAGGAAGAAAAGGAGCAAGTTGCTACTAAAAAGGAGCCCTTGGCTCAGCCTTCAGAAGCCGGGGTTCCTAGAGGGAATCGCAGGCGATTCCGTGTTAGGCAGCCCGTCCTGCACTATAGATGGGATCTGATGCATAGGCTTGGAGAGCCCCAGGCAAGGATGAGAGAAGAGAACATGGAAAGGTTTGGGGAGGAGGTGAGACAGCTCATGGAAAAGCTGAGGGAGAAGCAGTTGAGCCATAGTCTGCGGGCAGTTAGCACCGACCCCCCCCACCAGGACCACCATGATGAGTTTTGCCTTATGCCCTAAATCCTGAATCCTGATGTGTTCCCTCAAGTTAATTGCGAGAGACCCCTGCTTCCTAAAACTACATGTTTGTGATGTACTCTTGTAAATCTTTTGATGTTCCTTGTGGATCTCCTATTACCAGCTTCTAATTGAATGTTGTGTTTTTGACCCCGTCTGTAAGAATTTTGTTAGCAGGAGAATTTATCTATTGCATGGAAAGATGCTCATTATATATTGTGAAGCTAATAAAGCAATTTTAAAAAGCAATCTTGTTTTTATTTACAATTTTATATTTACCTACTTCTTATATAATACTAGTGAAATTAAATATACAAAAGGATTAATACAGGGACTCATTTCTGTAAATCAATATATTAGTCAGACATTTTGTAGTCTGTATAAAATACCTTAAATAAAAAACACAAAATATAATTTAAAATAAAATACACAAAAAACTTACAGGGGCAAAGGATATTATATCTTATAATTTCAGTTGTTTCAGTGCCAAAGATGGGTGACATTAGTTCAGCACACATCCTGTTCTCTTCAGGATTATCTATTCCAAAAAGCATGTGTTGCTCATGTTTGATTACTGCCTGATATAAGTAGACACTTCCAAAAAAGTATAATAATGACTAAGCCAGGAATTCACAATTACTGCCTTAGTTCAGTTCCAGACAAAGTAAATAACCTTGAACCTGTAACTTTACTCTGTAGAAAAGATTGCTTGCAGTTCCTAAAACATTGAGTTCGTTTACTAATACCCAGATGTTTCTAAAAGCATGCTAATCTGCTGCCTATGAAAGAGTCACTTGGGGACTTTATTAAGTTGGGGCACCAACAAAATGAAGTTCCAGAACTTTAATTTTTACCAAGTTTCCCTAATGATTCTGGTACATAATAATGTCTAAAGTGCTACCAATATATATATATATATATATAATCTTAGTTCTCACATAGGAACTATAATAACTACAACTTGTGCTTAACAGGTACAAGGGCCTGGGTTCAAATTTTTGCAAAGATGAGTATTTTACTTCAGTTAAGAAAGGCATTAAAATGCAATGGATGAAAACATTAAATCTTCAGATTTGCTACATAAAAATTTAAAGTTAGAGCCAGGCACTTATGGCTCACACCTGTAATCCTAAATGCTCAGGAGGTTGAGGTCTGAGGATCATGGTTCAAAGCCAGCTTGGGCAGGAAAGTCCATGAGACTTCTATCTCCAATTAACTACCAGAAAACCAGAAGTAGTGCTGTGGCTCAAAGTGATAAGTATGCTAGCCTTGAGCAAAAGTACTCAGGGACAGCACCCAGGCCCTGAGTTCAAGCCTCATGATGGCCAAAACAAATTAAAAGTAACTATTTTGGGAGACATTGCATTGATTTTTAATTTATAACAAGCTGCATATTTTCCTAAATCAATAATTGTGCAAAAAAGAAAAATTAGATAAAGTTCAAGACATTTTCAGTGAGTTCATAAAGGTTCTTAAAAATTACCTTTGACAAAACAAATATGTGGATTTCAAATTACCATTAGATATGGTATTCAGGTCCCAGTCTAATTTCTCATCCTATAGTTAGAGGAAAATCACTAAACCTTGGGAATTGTTAGGCAGTGGGATTTGAGACAGGGTTTTACTATGTAGCACAAGTTAGTGTGGAACTCCATTTGTAGCCTACACTAATCTCAAGTTGACAATCAGAAGGGTTATTTACAAGTTGTTTCAATTGTTCATATAGAAAACTAAACAAGAATGGGAAAATATTGAGCTTTAGGGCATATAACTAAAAGCACTGACTTTTCAGAGAACTGTCTTTAGATGTAGAAAGCTAGAAATAAATTTTTAGAAATAAATGTTTAAAGGCACTTAAGGGATGCATATGAAGCTGAATGATAGAGTACATGCTTAACAGGCACAAGGCCCTGGGTTCAATCTCTCACTAAAAGAAAGCATTACAATAAGGTCTGTTGTTTTGAAATTCATAAGATATTAATAGAACAACTGAAACAAAAAGATCATTGAGAGAAGAGAAGACAATGAATATTAAACAACATTGATATATATAAACATTCAAATTATTGGAGCAAAAAGGAATCTTAATTTGCCTAATGGCTGCTCTACACTGCATAACTTACTGCAAGGGACAAGATATATATCTCACTCCCAACACTGGGTTTTTATATATGAATCACTGCAATAGAAAACACTTAACCAAAGCAAGAAATAGGTGTCACATATGCATTGCCCCATGAATAGGCTGAATAATATGTTTATTGGTTCAGTCCCAATCACTGTCCCACACAATGACTGATGCACAGAGATGCAGCTCTTATTGACTGGCCAAATGTATGCTTAGAGACTGAGCTGTTGCATCAGTGAAATGATGTATAATTTGAAAAATGTTGGCATGTGTTTATAAAAAAGAAAGATTACTAATAAAATTAAGAGACCTATATGCTACTGATTTTGGAAACACAATTTCTATTCTATTTTCAGAACTCTGGGCCTGGGCATTGTCCCTAAGCTCCTGAGCAATTCAGCTCAAGGTGAGTGCTTTACCACTTAGGCCACTGCGCCACTTCTGGTTTTTTCTGCTTATGTGGTGCTGAGGAATTGAACCCAG